AACCCGGCCCCCGGCTCAAAAAGGTTGCCTACCCCTGCTCTAGAGAAAACTACTGTAGGTCTGAGATTGTGTTGCTGTGTGCCTTCAAGTTGTTTCCAACTTTCTTTGTAAAGCACTGTCTTAAGAGGCATTAAAAGGATGACAAAAATGTTTTAGTTGAAAATGTTTTAGATGTGCAATATCCTGTCTTAGGAAGGTTTAGATCAATTTAATGCCCTCAAAATGTTTTGGACTATAGCTCTTGAGATGTGTAAGCATTATCAGTCAACCTAATAGCAAAAATGGCCCATTCACAAATAATTTTATTTCCAATTTAAGAAATTGCAGTCAATATTAAGAAATATATACTGCTTCAGATTTAATTGTTTTAAGTTAGAAAACATAATTTAAGTCTAAAAAGTTGCTTGTTTTAAGTATCAAGAACTTGCCCACAACTGTGCCACAGCTCTGCCTGGGGAATGGTTAAAATGGACAGGTCATGAACATGGCATACTTAGGCCTACCTAAACGCCATTAATTCTCACAATACACCCAAAATTACAGTGGAACTTCATACCAGGTCAAGTGCTGGTGAAGATTTTCATCCTTTCACTGAATTCAATGGAAGGGGGGAACCTTAAACAAAAACTTTCCAGCCCACTGTGGAATAAGGGATCTCAGGGTAAAGTCTAATTCAGTACTATAGCCAATTAAGCTTTTGTGACAGAAGAATTATATGCCCTATATAATGAAGTGAAATAAATCTCATACAACAGCGCTAAATAAAAACCACAAACCACAGGGGATGTCTAGGCATGGGGCATACTGCAAAGGTGAGGAAACTGCTGTCTGTAGACCATTTTTGTGCCCCCTCAGAAATGTTTGCCTCTATGGGCGTGTGGAAATATTTGGCTTGTTTTTGACCCTCCCCCGCCTGTTTTTAGCCCAGGAGAAGCCTTTGTCTCCCAACAGAATGCAAGCTAGAAGCTAACTTCTAGATCACATCATGTTGGGGAAGAAGGCCTCTTTGGGGTAGTAAAATTTTCCCCTCTGCCCTCAAGAATTATGGGGCAGAAGAGATGAGGGTACAGCCATCCAAGGTCCCCTGAGAACACAAAGCATTATCCAACTCCTGACAATTCCCCACCTCAGAAGAGAGCATACCTCTGTCTAACTTGATATTACATACACTCAGAACTCACAAGGAATTACTCTGGCTAAGAGATACTACAGAGAAAGAGCACTTTGTAAGCAAAATGAAGCACTCTGCACTGGACTCCATACAAAAATGGGGAAACTTTGCAAAATAATGTCATGTTGTGAAATGAATGTTCTCAAACACTGTACTCACACCATAGCAACATTCATCTCCATGGATTGTCACTGTAGGTTACACTTCTAATTAGTTGCTGTGGAGTTTGCTAGAAAACTTATTTGCTGATTTTCTGTTTTGTTTTTTCTTCATCATCACCACCACCACCACCCAGCATTTCTACCCTTCCATGTTGGCTTTAGCAGGCATAAGATACATTGCAGTTTCAGTAGCACAGCACTGGAGCATAGCACAATGGTCTATGAGTGACCTGAACTATGTTTGCTTTAACATATTAAATTAGAAAACTAGTTTACCTGAGATTAAGAGCACATATGGTAAATTAGATTTTTATCAGGAGCCCAAAATATTTAATTATTATTATTATTATTATTATTATTATTATTATTATTATTAAAAATTTGCCCAGAATTGGCAGATTAGTATACAAAACAGATCTAGTTTAAACACATTGCCTTTCCTTGAGACTGAGAGAATATGACCAGTGGTTTTCATGGCCGAGTGGGGAATCGAACCTTGGTCTCCAGAGTCGCAGTCCAACACTGAAACCACTACGCTACACTGGTGCTGTAGGCCGTATTTCAGATGAGGGAACTAGCAAAACCACCTCTGAATATTCCTTGCCTAATGAAATCCATGGGGTCAACATAAGTTGACAACTGCAAGGCACCCACATACACACTTAAAGGGTCAGTGACACTTTAATACTAAAATACAGATAGAACTGTATATTCAGCTATTTTTTGATGCACCCCTATTACTGCTGGGATGCTAAGGATCTTGGCTTTGAAGAACCAGGCAAGTTACATATTAACATGCATATTATCCACTTTACATTTTTATTTGGTAGTCATCATTTCTGAAACTTCTTTAACTTCAAACTTTTCATGTTTGAAATGAAGTCCAAACCTAACTATGGTCAATTATTTGTTGTTGTTGTGTGCCTCCAAATCATTTTTGACTTATGGTGACTCTAAGGTGAACCTATCATGGGGTTTTCTTGGCAGGTTTCTTCAGGGGGGTTTGCCACTGCCATCCTCTGAGACTGAGAGGGTGCGACTTGGCAAGGTCTCCTACATGGCCAAACCAGGATTCAAACCTTGGTTTCTAGAGTTATAGTCCAATGCTCAAACCACTGTACCATGCTGGCTCCTAACTATGGTCAATACACTGTGTAATACAGCAGTTCGAACAGAATTATTGTTGTTGTTGTTGGTTGCCTTGAAATCATTTCTGACTAAGACAAACCTATCATGGGTATTTGGGGAAAGATTTGTTCAGAAGAAGTTTGCCATTGCCTGCTGAGAGCATAAGTTAATTTAATTTACGGTAGCTGATTGTCACTAGTACAGTTAACAATTTAACTTTAGTGAAGTTCATTTTGAGAAATACCATATCAACTTTGCTTAGCAATGTATTATAAAATTGTATAACGTGACAATGTAACCGTGGTAAATATTGATATAAGGGTCCCATAAAAATTGTTTTTAAGGCTCAGTTCCACTCCACCATTCATTCATACCAGCTGGGCTTTTCTAGATTAACTAATGATCACAAGCTGCCACAATTAACGATAGAAGCTTTGTAGAGACCAGCTGCAGATACCTCGAGATTTCTATCTCCTTGTATAGGAGTGATGTGACACCACAGCAAACAAATGAGTCAGTACCAGTGCAGAGAAAAGTCTAAGGGATATTATCATTAGAATCAGAGTTAGAGAAGGGAAGGTGGCTTCGATATCAAAGGGCTAGGTATCTCTATCCTTAATAAAGACATCTACTTTCCAAATGTGTTAATTTGTGCCATTTAGTTTAATGAACACAAATGCCTTTATAGTCTTGATCTGGAGAAAGCACCATGATGTTCTCAAAGAAGGAAATATTATTTTGGTACTCTAATTCTCCTTGCACAGTCTCTATACTGAAGCCTTTCAACTCTCTTGTTGCTTTCTGGGGCAAGATACTTATTGTTATCCTTCTTGAAAAGGCCAAGGTGATCAAAGCAAGGCAAGCAGTAAAGAGGCAAGTAAGCCCACTCCACAACTATACTAGTTAAGATAGCACTTAATAGGCCTTTGCAACCAACTTGGGGGAGCAGAGGTGCAGGCAAACCTGTTCATAACAGGACAGATGGACTTAAAAAAAAAACTAGGCAAAATTCACTATATATATATAGAGAGAGAGAGAGAGAGAGAGAGAGAGATACCAGAAGGCAAAACAGACATGACAATATGGAATGACAGCATCTTCCAACTTTGAAAACACACCCAACTAGAAACAGACAGTCAAGCAACTGCCTTTAAAAAGAACCAGAAGATCAAACAAAGCCCCATATATTCAGTTCCTCTTCAGGCATTCACCTGAACAAGCACCCCTAAAATTGAGTTGAGGTTGTGACTGAATCAGAATTAAGTTAGACCTTTATGCATGAAGTGAAAAGATCTAGAGTGTTTTGTAACAGCATTCAGCTGAATGTCATTACAGAGCTTGTGTTACTGGGAGACCTGCTTTATCCAGCTTCCTGGTCACAGAACACAGTGATATAGGGCCATTCGAAGGTGAAGCCTGCTATATCTCTACCATCCATTTAGGGCTAAAGTGTCTGTAGAATTAAACCTCCTGAACCAAGCATCTATATAGGGACATAAACAAGTGTCACTTTCCATATATATATATATATATAGAGAGAGAGAGAGAGAGAGAGAGAGAGAGAGAGAGAGAATAAAATGTATACCAGAAGGCAAAACAGACATGACAATATGGAATGACAGCATCTTCCAACTTTGAAAACACACCCAACTAGAAACAGACAGACTAACATTATGGCAGCAAAGAAAGGCAGCTGTAAGAAGCTTTATTTTGTCTGAAGCAGCAGTTCTAGGCAAGAGGTTTTAACCATTTGTATCCTTGGTCAATTTCCTCTCCATGTAAACCACCACATATGTGCTAGAGACAAACACCATGCATGTCAAGCACCATAATTCCAATTAAAATTGGAATCCAAAGCCCACAGTGACTTCATAAGCTTTCATGGCCGGCATCCATAGGTTTTTTATGGGTTTTTTCGGTCTGTGTGGCCATGTTCTAGAAGAGTTTCTTTCTGACGTTTCGCCAGCATCTGTGAAGATGCCAGCCACAGATGCTGGCGAAACGTCAGAAAGAAACTCTTCTAGAACATGGCCACACAGCCCAAAAAAACCCATAAAAAACCCACAGTGACTATTTTAAAATAAAGGAAGAACTTGTGATATTCACTTCTCTTTTGTTTCTCATGCAGACCTTGACCTAATTTTTAATGTTATTAAAATTATACATTTAAAACAACATATGCATTTAAAAATCTGATTTTTAAAACTAATGCCCTTGTATTCTAAAGGTCAAATAAAGCTGGCAAATAAGTGTTGCCTACTATACATTCACATAAACAATATCTTGTGAAGCAGTTTTTACATATTTCCAGTAATAAATTTATGTTAGGATGGGGGTGAGGAATACTATTGGTCTGTATTCAGATGTGAATACTGGATATATTTGTGCGGGAGGGAAACAAGTGAATTGTTATGGCATAGTATAACTTTTGTTTTTTAAAAAAGGTTCCTCTGATATGTCATCTCTTGTGATAACCTGACATTAGCCTTTCTGAAAAAGTTTTTCTAGTTTCAGGACTACACAACAGACTAAGAAAATGAAACAAACATTTCACAAATAACCAAAGCAATTAGAAACAATACCAAATCAGTGTTCACAAGAAATTGGTTTTCAAATACATAATCTAATGGTATGACATTGTGCATTATAACAACCAGGAAACTTAGTGATCCCTGCTGATGTAAATATTCAGCTGGTTTGAAGGAGCATGTCACACTTTTAACATGCCAGGATTTTATATCTGCAAGAGAATCTCACCACCACCTCCACCCCACAACTTAAAATATAGGGCTTATGGCAAGAACCAAATGCAGTTAGACTAACAACTATGCATTTTGCCATTACTTAATTTCAAATATGTCTCACAAAAAACAAAATAGGTACAGAAAACCTTCTTCTGCCTGTGCATAAATAGAGCCAAGTATCCCCCATCCTTGTGCACTTGGTATTTGTGGCATAAATGTATAATTGTGCATTTGTCTCTGTTGAATTTAATTGTTAATTTAATTCTAGTTTTTAGTTTATCAAGGTTCTTTAGAACTGTATCTATCTTCTAATGTGTTAGATACCCCTCCCAGTTTTGTATAACCTGCACACTTGATAAGGATTCCCTCTAACCCACCATCTAAGTCACTGATAAAAATATTGAAAAGTATCAACCCCAGGATAGAACCCTGCAACAGTACTTTTGATACTTCCCTCTAGTCTGAAACACAGTAACTGATGACTCTGAACACAGTTTTCCAACCAACTGCCGATCTGTCTGACAGTATTCCCATCTACTCCACATTTAATCAGTTTGCTAATTAAAATATAATAGGAGAGTTTTATCAGACGCATTGCTGAAATCCAGATAAATAACATCTACAGCATTCCTACCATCTGCTGAACTGGTAGCATTATCAAAAAAAGATTAGCTTGGCAGGATTTGTTCTTCACAAACCCATGCTGACTCCTACTAATCACTGCATTGTCATCTAGTTACCTGCAAACAGACATCTTTATCAACTGTTCCAATATTTTTCTTATCACTGAGATCAGGCTGACTGGTCTGTAGTTACCTGGATCTTCTATTTTGCCCCTTTTGAAGAAGGGGACACTGTTAATCTTTCTGCAATCTTCAGGCACCTCACTTATTCTTCAAGATTTTTGAAAAATGATGGTAAGTAGTTCAGAGAGCACATCAAAAAGTTTCTACAGTAATCTGTGATGCAGTTTGGCCCTGCAGATTTGAATTCGTTTAGGTTAACTAGGTGATTCCTGACCATCTCCTTGTCAATTCTGATTTGCAATCCAGATCCCTTAACAGGATCTCTGCTGATGCATGAAAACACAGAGTTCTCTTTTTGGGGAAAACTGAAGCAAAATAGGCATTGAATAGTTCTGCTTTTTTGTTGCGATTCATATTAGCATTTTACCCTTCCCTACTGAGCAGGGACCCCACCATTTCCTTGGACATTTTCTCACTTCAAATGTATCTGAAAAAGTCCTTTTTGTTACTCCTTGCTTGCTTAGCCAGCCTCAACTCATTGTGAGCTTTAGCTTTATTATTCCTGCAAGCATGGGCTACACATCTGTATACTTTCTTGTTGATTGGTCCTTCTTTGCATTCTTTATGCATGCTCTTCTTTATTTTCACTCCTTGATTTTGCTGTGCAGCCATGTTGACTTTTTCAGATAGTTCCCATTTTTCTTTTTCTGTGAGATTGTTTGTGATTGGGCTTTTTGCAACTCCTTCGCAAACTCCCAACTTTTCCTGGTGTCTTTTTCCTTTAGCCTCTCTAACCATCGGATTGTACCTAGTATGTCCCTGAACTAGTTAAAATCGTCTGTTCTGAAATCCAAGGTCCGTGTCTGACTATACCCTTCGTTGCCTTGTCCCACAATTATGAATTTTACCATTACATGGTCACTCCCCCTAAAGTACCAACTACTTTTGATTCCAGTGACCAACTCCTTCCTATTGGTAGAATCATGTCCAGGATTGCTGATCTCTTTGTTCTTTCTTCTTAGACACTATGTGCAAGGCACAAGAGGAATTTGTTGGACAACCTATGCTTAATAGAATTGCTCTCCCAGCAGGTATCAAGGTAACTGAAGTTCCCCATAACTACTAATTCTTCCATCTTTAAGATTTCTGATATTTGTTTCTGAAAAGCATAACTTACTATCTCTTCTCAGTTTGATGGCCTGTAGTAGTCTCCTATCACATGTTACTTTTATTTATTTCTCAGTCTATTTTTAACAAAAGGTTTCAGGTGGTCCACTCTGATCATGTCCCATGGATTTCTATTCAAGTAAATATGTCTTTGACATTCAATGCCACTCCCTCTCCTTTTTGGCCACATCTATTCTTTCCAAATGGGTTGTAAACTTCAGTTGTTATATTCCAGTTATGGGAGTCATCCCACTAGTTCTCTGTTACATTTATCAAGTCATATTTACTATGTACTAGGACATCAAGCTCATCTTGTTTGTTTCCCAACCTCTGCGCTTGTATGGA